AATCTCAAATTAAGCTGAGAACTTTGCAATGTCTAAATTGGTCAGAGCGATCTTCCTTTAAAGATCCTCTTATGGGAAAAATGATCTATGATCTACTGCTTATTGATATTTACTTTTAAAGCATTACGTTGAAAACTTGAACACACATTAACCATATATGACCTCTGGCAATGCATTTTTAAATACGTCAATAACTCGACTACAAAAAAAAAAAGTTCTTTCGGGAACAAACACATCAAGTGCATTTTTCACAGATCCTCTCAAGTAATAAAATTCATCACATCAACTTTTACTGCTCAGTAACACTTTAGCGGAGCCACCTCCTGCAATGGCACATATTGCACTATAAATCAAACAGAAGTGGCAGGTCACACACGGAGACAAGCCTGAGAAGTTGAACAGATATACAGCAGCTGTAGCCGAGAGATAACGCTTTATGCCAACCACCAGCTCCACAAATGTCTTCTACCACATCCTCGAACACAACATCCCTCGATGTGAAGTTCGCCCTCAGAGGAAGTCTTCAGTCTTCCCCAACTGAAAAAGCTCAACAAGATGCCTCCTAGTTTCCACAAAGTAAACAAGGATCTGCTGAAACTCCAAGTATGAAATCCTCAAACACTGTTCACAGATGAGAACCAAAAACATCTGATGAGATAATTAGACACCTTTTCCTGTCTTGTCCCTGCTTTCATTCTTGACTACTCTGCGTCAGTACGGCGACAACACTGGCACAACTCGATATTGGCACATCGAGTTATAAGATATTGCTGTATGCATGCAAGGATAAATCAGAAACACACTTTTGTTTCATGGTTTTGTGGTTTGCTCTTGCTGTGTTCACTGAGAGCAACAAATCAGGATGCGGCGTTGAGCCTTCCTGTACATGTCAAGAGAAAAACTGGTTGTAATAAATTCAATGTGAGCAACACAATGAAAACATCCCACCAGACTGAGTCAGACTTCTTTTTTTCTTTCCCTCCCTCTTCCCTTTCCAGCATCTGTTGCGCTGTGAGCCAGACCGACGGGTGTTAATCACCGACTCACATCTGTCTGGAAAAGGTTACGGCTGCTTGTACGTGTGCAGCATCAGGCTTCGCAGCGTGACTAGTACGACTGCAAAGATTCACGCGCACAAACAGGCACAGAATTTCCTCTAGAAATGTGTCCAGGCTCGGTGTTAGAGTGATTAATTATTGAAAACATTACAAAACATGTGCTGGAAACGCAACTCTACCCTCAATTTCCTGAAACAAGGACTTGTTGTGCCTGACAAGTCCCGAAATCTGTCTGTGATTTCGAAAAGACAACTTTGAACAATCACAACCTGCAAGCACAGCAAGCAAATCTGCACTAAAGGCTTTGCCCTTTCTTTTGTTAGTCAAATCCAGGTTGTCGCCAGAGACTTTAAGTATTTATTTATTTTTTTTGTCTGAATGATTTCACATTCAGACTGAGTGAGACGACATCATATCTAGTTGTGGCCCATCTGGCTTGCTGTGCTCAAACACCTTTCGCTGGGCAGAGAGCAGCTGCGAATCTCGATTGCTTCAAGCCTCTTAAAAGTGAGTCCTGAAATGATCAGAGTTTGACGAGAACAGGAAGGCAACAACAATAAAAGTGTTGTTAAAATCAGAGTGGCCAAAAATGTAATCAACGGTATATCGATGACATAAAACACTTGCACTCAAAAGACTGTGAGAGAAAATCACAGAAGAAAGCATCGAATGAAGCAGGAAGCCGCCCTGTTTTATCTGGACACCATTAATAAGAAACACTGAACTGCATCAAGAGTTGAAATATGAAAAAAAGAAAGGAAAAAGAGCTAGCACTCTAGCATAGTGTACGCTTAAATGTTCAGCTATAGAGTCCAGAGTTTATGGGTAAAGTCAAATACATATTAAGAAATAATTGTTAAAACGACCTTAGTCTTAGTTGAAGTGTTGTCAGAACATTTTAATATCAAATATAACTTGGAAAAACAACAACGACAAAAAAAAAAAAGGTACAAAAATGCTGAATCATTTCCAAACTATCCAGACTACGTTATTTTTACCCCCTTTAGATCTTGAGCAAACAATGACAAACCAGAGTCTTTAGGAAAGCTACGCTTAGTTCTAGTTGCAACACTTGAGTGTAAGTGTTACTAATTAAGTCACGGACTCCAGGAGTTGCATTAACAGAACATGAAGCAGGCCAAAAGATCCCAAAAAGCAACAGATGATTTGGATCCAAAGTCATTCAAACAGAGCTCTGAAGGATGAGACGTTCAGAGAGTGTTGGTTCTCCAACGAGCTGCAAGGAGAGCCAATGTTAACATGTGGGAAAACAAAAACGTTGTGGATATTGTTTGATCAATTGAAACATATGAACACGAGAGCAAACGTGAAACAGCAAATAAGTGCAGCTGCTTTCTTCACCGAGTTAACCCCACCTCAGAGCAAAAATATCTGTCATTGTCAGGACGGCAGAGTTACGTGTGATGTTGATGCTTTGCATTTTATATTTGCTGAAATTCGAATCAACATATGGCACAAAAACACCCGGGAAGTTTCCAGATCCAAATCTCTTTTGACACGAACGCCTCACCGCATTATTAAAATGCTTGCAGCCACCAAAGTTGGGGTTTCCTGACTCTTACTCAGACAGATGTGAAGAGGACTTTGTCATCACTGTTTATTTTGCCCTCTGGGTTTTTCGACAGTGATTTAGGTGAAATACCATCATGAACCAGAGCTGAGTCAAGCATCCAGGCACAGACCGCAAACGGGCACATGGCAAAACCATGAACCGTTTTAACCGCTTTTCTGAAACTATTTTATCACTGAAAAGATGGCTCCCGTACAACAAAAACGAACTTTGTTTTACTACGAAACACACGTTTATGGAGCTCGCTACGCTCATTAGTTAGTGTGCCGAGTTGCTAATGTTTCGTGGACCCGATTTGACCTCAGATTCCGACAGAAAGGAGAGCGGCCTGTGGAGAGAGGCCGGACCAGTCCTCCAGGGTTTTCAGGTTCGGTCCACTCCCCTGGAGTAGGAGCAAATGTGAAGCTCACTCCTCAAAACAAACTCACACATTTGCGCCGCACTCTCAGACACACCTAAACACAACACAGCCGTTAGAGAGGCTTAAACTGTGCCTACAAGCGCATTCCAAAACAGCTGCCGTGCCCCAAAAAGCTTTTTATTTTCTATATAAGTGCGACGATAAAAGAACAAGAGCCGACAACGACAGGAAGGAATATATGTGCAAACCTGCTCTGATGTCACCACTTACAGGAAGCATGATCCACGTGTTGGATTTTATGATGAAACATTTTTTTAACTTGTTCTCGAAAGTTATTTAAGTTTGGAGCGCTGGCCTTTACAGACGGCTGTGTCACTTTTCTTTAAATAACTTTCTAGTTTGGCAGTTGTGACAAATTGTGACTCTACGTTTGAACCCAGACCAGCAGCAGCTTAGAGGGCCCCAAAATTTCATCTATAAGATAAATACATTTTATATTCATGGAGTCTTAGAGGTTCACGCAGTAACTTATATCACTGTGAGCGTCTTTAATTTGCTAGATTGTTGTGTAAATGACAAGTTGTCACATTTTTGAAAACAAAATATAAATATAGCAACCCTGTGCTATATTTAGATGTGACAACTGTGGGCTTTAGTTCACCCGGAGGGAGAGTTAAAGTTCCCAAAGGACCATGTGAGTTAGTGGGACGTCTGTTGAGAGCTGGATCATTAAGGAAAATGAATAACGACAAAAATTTAATAACGCGGCTGGATATAATAATCCTTCCAACAGAACCATGTGACATAACAGGCCATCCTAATAAATTAGATTTTATCGCATCTTATTATGAATATCAGTAATTGGCAAAAACAGAAGAGCAATTGTCAAATTCCTACATTTCCCTATAGATTTAGTCAAGCCAGATCCACAAGCCCAAAGCAGAGCCAATCAATATTTACATGACCTTCGAGAAAAAGTTGCAATATCCAGCATTTTCTGTTACCTTTATCCTCCAGGGCCTATGTCAGGTATGAGTGATGGCTCTGCGACAAACTCGACATTCGTTTGGAAAGAAGACCTGGGCCCACTTAGCAACAGTTAAGTTCTTTTTCTTCCTAGCCCCGGTAAAACACCCGCAGCCCACGTCTAGGATCTGTCTGGGAGTGTCGCTGTTGCTGGTGCAGATTCCCATACGACACTTTTTTCTTCCACTCATTTTTTCTACGAACGTCCTTGGATGCAGGACTCTGTGAACGACCAGCTACTTCAGCAACAACCATTTCTGCCTCTGGCCCCTCGAAGACGGGCCTGCTGCTCCAGACCACTAAGAGAAACCTCATATACATCAGCTGCTCACAGACACGTCGCTCAGTTGCTGCAATGTGGGCAAACTGCAGAATGACGACCGACGACCATTGGGTTTAACTGTTACGAGCTAAATCTTACATGTATGCATGGCATATGAACACAAAAGGGATGCAATGCTTTGGTTCTAATTGTCAATGCTACAACGACGAGATTACAAAGTCGGCCAAAAGTTTTAATTCATAAAAAAAGCATCAAAAGAGAGGTGAGTAGGTCAGTTGTTTGACTTTGACAACCTTAACACGTGGATGTGATGCGGGATTCAGCATGTTTGGGTTCATTCAAACTACATAACAAGGAGGCGACCTTCACACTGACATCAGTAGAGCAGGTGCTTCACTGTGTTCGATTAGCCACTGCAGCTAATGTAGCTAATCTGCATCTACAGCCATTTTTATTAGAAAATAAAACAAGTAAATATTATAAAAATATTGATTTTTTTGTGATTTAAATTTTTTTTATGCACATTCATATGAAGGTACCCAAAAAACATTGTTTAGGTTTTTCCTCTCCCCTCTGATTTGCTCTCTTGTCTTGGGGGTCCAAAATCTTCTCTAACCCGGGGGCCCCACACCCCGCTACACCCGGCCCTGGATGGACCCGGGGGTGTTGGGTGATACTCACGGTTAGAGGCAGGGAGCACACCACGAAGATGACTGTGATGAGAGCCAGCAGCACCACGTGGTCCAACTCCTCCTCCCCGCGTCCGAACCAGGCCAAGCTCAGCTTTTTCCTCCGGGCCACCGACACCACGGAGCCGCGGCGCGTCAAGTGGCTGCGGTGCATCTTGCACAGGCTGACGATCACGGAGCCGTTGCAGGCGAACACGACGAAGATCAGCAGCGCATTGAGCGAGGAGTAGGACAGAGAGAAGGCCAGGATCAACTCCCCGCGCTCCTGCCAGGTGCCGCGGGCGTCCCCCATGTCCATGAAGCACCACGTCCCCGGGCAGTACTGCCTGAATTTGCCGTACCCGATGAACGGCAAGAGGCAGAAAGTCAAGGAGAAGAGGTAAACGAAGAGGAGGGCGACTTTGGCGAAAGCGGGGCGGATGTGCACCGAGTAAAAATACGGGTGGCTGATGGCCAGGCAGCGCTCCAGGGCCATGGCGCACAGGATGAGGGTGGACGCCAGTCCGAAGAAGTTCACCACAAAGCCGAACAGGTTGCAGAGCTTCTCCCCGCCGAGGCCGACCAGGGACGCGTTGTGGGCGTAGCAGATGAACACGGGCGGGCTGAGGAGGCAGGTCCCCAGCAGGTCGGTGAGGACCAGACCGGTCACCAGGATGCAGAAGACCGAGGACCGGGAGCGGTTCTCCTTCTGGTGCACCAAGAGGATGAAGAGGGCCAGCAGGTTGCCCACCACTCCGAGCGAAAAGAAAGTGATGGTGATGGGCTTGTTGCCTTGGCCGGAAATCACAAGCTGGCCGTGGCATTTGACGCTGTCGTTCATGGTTGTCAGAGGAGGGTCTTCCAGCATGAGGAGGGTTTTTACTGCAAACGATCCGCGCCTGATTGCTGCTCTTTGGAGACGGTCATTTGGCAAAGGGCGCGATGCCGCCGCGTGTTGACGCCCTCACAGCCGCATCGCCCCTCAGCGCATGCAGACTCTGCGGAGCATGTGGAAGAAGTACTTTTAGATCAGGCAGAAAGTAACAGAAGAAGTCTCGCTTTCACTTTGTCACAACATGTCAAAAATTCACAAGGATATCGGCAATGAATTACAGCTACTTACCCTCTCACTGAAGCAGCAGTGCAATAGTAATAATATTAGTAATAAATCTATGAAGAAGTTTCAACTTCTTCCTTTCTCTAACTTTCTCATTTTGCTGGCTGTTCCTGTCCTTATTAATATTATTATTATTTTCTTTTTTTACTCCGAGAAAAATGACAGCATAACCTGGGATAAAACTGGAGTTTGAGAGCAGCTCTGATCCGCGGTGACTCTCAGAAACAGACTGATCGGTTCTCGGCTTCTTCTCCCTTTCCCTCCTCCTCCTCTTTGAGTTTACTCCTCCCAGTCTGCCGGATCGATTCAAACCTCCCTCCCACTGTGCAACACGCGTGTCGCGGATGAAGGTGATGTTCATCGGGACAGTTCTGTCTGGTGATGATGATGATGATGGAGGTGGCGACGAAGATGAAGATAATGATGAGATGTGTATTTAAAATTAGGCCAGTGTAAATATTTGTAGATTGTAAATGTAAACCATCAGCAGTCCAAATAAATCGCAATTACTCAAGTTGTACACACACACAAAAAGTGTAAACAAACAAGCTTTCCACACGTAGGCGTTTTTATTTGTCTTTTTTTAAATAATCACTAACATAAACAACGTAAATCAATAGAAAGACAGAAAAAAAAACAGAGAATAGAACACCAAAATTACACCAAATATATAAATTCATGTAATTTTTCTTAAAGACACATTTGACACTGTGTGTCTGCACCGCCCCTTTAAAACTGAACAATTTTAATAACAGATACATTTTTGAAAGTGTAGAAATTGGGACAAAAATTAGATGCAAATGCCCAAAGTTCTTTGTTTGTTTTTTTTCTTTCTTTTTTTTGACATGTTTTAAATGTATACATTTTGAATTTATCTCCATCGGCTCATGTTTAAAGCTTGTGGTTTCGGAGTGCTCTCGTCCCCGGGCCCCGACCAGCACCAAGAGCCACGACACCGACCCTGGACCCGTCTCACACGGCAGGACACACAATGTGCAAAGGAAATGTAAAATCAGTACTGCCAGTACTCCTCTAGTTTCTAAAAAAGATGCTCTGAACGACTCTTCGCCTGGTTCACGTGATGCTTTCCCCCTCTCCATCACCTCAGACCAAGAGAGAGACTTTCCACATTATTGACTACAAATGTAATTGAAGCAGCTAATCCTTGTTTGCTTTTGCTCCACTCTTTTTAATTAGCCCGTCATTGTCTGGGCTGTGGGAGTCTTAGCTTTGTGTTTTTTTTTTTTTTTTTTTTTTTTTTATGTTTGGTTCACATTTTGTGAAAGCTCTACAGTCATGAAGTCTTATTTTTCTACTCCCAACTGTTGGGATAAATTACGATCGCTGTTAGCAGACAAAGGCCTTGAAGTATCAGCGTATTGCCAAGAGGAGTGTGAGCAAAAAAACAAAAGACGTCTCAACACTTCAAAACGTATAGAAGGCCAGGATGATTTATGTTGGAGAGTTGCGCTATTTGTTTCTCCCTGTCTGGAAAGCATTATTCTAATTCACCTTTGACTACTACAGATGAGGATACCTCGGAGGGTGTTGGCAGATTCAGCGCCCGTAGAACAAACCGAGGCGACACTTTTAAATAAACAGCAGACGCAGAAGCTCAAAACAAATATTACCATTTGCACACAAACTCCTCACAGCAGTGGGCCTGTTTGTGAGCGCACCAAATGAGGGAAGGAGACCGTGACACGTGGAGCATTTTACACAAGCTCCTGTGATGATACATGGCAGGCTTGCTGCACAGCAAAACAATTCAATGGTTGTGCACGTGAAAGGCAGCGGTGTTTGTTTTGTGGCCTAAAGAACGCCTTCGGTATCAGTAGGCAAGAGGAATGCTCACTGAATGCCGATCCAGAACCGCACAGCATTCTGGGAGACGAAGGCAGCAGAAAAGGCTCTAGCTGCTCAGCCTCTTCACGGCCTGCTGAGCTGGGTTCGTGGTATCGACTAAACTTGCTCGCTCTTTGGGTGCCTAGCAATGCCCCGTCGGGCAACTTGCGCAGCAGCGTTTTCAAGTTTGGCCGTTGTCCCGCAAAACTGCCGGAAAACAAACAAAGGCCTGGAGTGAGAACTGTGGATAAGCCAGGAAATATCACAGTGAGTTTCAGATTTTCAAAACCAAAACACTGATCGATAAATATCGATAACTGTCAATATCGACTGACATGAAACTTACAGTCCTACCAGAAAGTCATTTGAAAATAAATGAATTTCACTTGTGAAGCGCTTTTCACAGAAATGATGTCAAACAGCTTCAGTGTAAATAAATAAATTACAGTGAAGTTATCTACAGAATGTTAACAAGAGAGAATGAAAAGAGAGCATGACACTGAGGTGACATGTTTATGAGAAACAGCAACAGAAAAAAACTCCAGCAAAGAGAAATGCATTGCAAAGTTACTACACTGTTTAACAAACCTGGGAAACGACGTTACTCTGCACCGAACAAGCAAAGTTATTGAATACGATCAACTATCTTTGAGGTCTGGGTGTGTAGAGGGAGGAGGAACGAGGCATGAGAAAAGATCAATATTACCTCTTTCAACATGAACGCATGAATCTCATATAAAAATAACTTTGGTAGAACCAGTGGGCTTTTATCTGCTTTTCTAAATGTGAAACAGGTGTGAAAATGTTCCAGCCGACAAACCAGACGGCCGGCCGACCGTCCATCTGCCAGATCCTTCCTAACTGAGCAGGAACCTGAAGTTATTCATTCCTCATTGAAGAACAACAGATCACATCTTGACTCAGACGTTGTAGCATCGGAAAGAAATGTGGAAGTTTTGTCAAGTTGATGTAGTTTGCTAATTACGCTTTAGTAAACACCACATTGGTGCTAAAGTCCCATTTTATTTCTTTTGTCAAAATGTTTGATATTTTTAATGGATTCAGTTGGAAAAAACAAAAAAACAAAAAACAACAAAGTCATGTTGTGTGGTTTGACAAAAAGCTCCCTTTTTATCCAAATTCATACTCTGAGTTTAAGAGCCTTATTAAAAATGTTTCCACCAAAACTACTGGAAAAGCAGACAGAAAAAGAAAACCCTGTCAACCTGGGCAGCTATGAATTAGATCATTCTTTAGAGCATAGGTGTCAAACTCTGGCCCGCGGGCCAAATTTGGCCCGCAGTGTTATTATATTTGGCCCGCGAGGCAAATTTAAATTAATATTAATCTTTTACGTGAGAAAGGAGGCATTAAATGTTTATTTAAATTTAATTTAATATATTTAATATTTTATTTTATATATTAAATATGTTTTATTTAATATAATAATATGTTTTATTATTATTAGCAACTCAATTTTGCACACCTGCACTTTTAAGTTAGATAAGCTTTGCTTGTTCAATATTTATTGTTATATTAGAACTTGTTTGGGTCCATATTAAAAGATTCATTTGTTCAACCTTGGCCCGCGACTTTGTTCAATTTAAAGTTTTGGCCCACTGTGTATTTGAGTTTGACACCCCTGCTTTAGAGAATAAAGCGTAACAAAGAATAGAAGTAAATCAGCCTCTGGGTGAAAACAAAAGGCGGATGGATCGATGGAGAGACTGTCATGGGGCGCATGAAGGAGAGTTTGTTTAATGGATGTCTTCATATTCTGCTCTGTTTGAAGTGGGAGAGACAGAACAGATGAAAGCTTGACAATTTCTTACCCTTCTGGTTCTCAGGGTTGCTGTGGTGTTCTTCCAACATTCTGCACTACTGTGAAAGTGAAACATAATACGAGCGAAAAAGACAAAAACCAGGATTTTTGATTTCCTCCCAAACCTTGACCTGAATATATTAGCTAAAAGCTTCAACGCCTTCAGCAAACACAGGAGCCTTTTATCCAAAAATGTATTGATTCATTTTGATTTTTTTTTTCCACCGAGGCCGATAAATCGGCTCGTTCAAGACGGATGGCGTTTGGAGTCCATTCCGCCTGTCAGGTTTCTCGCTTTTCAGATGCAGTTGCCACCGACCGCACAGTTACTTTTAAGTGGATTCAAAAACCGACCCGCCGTGAGTTTGATCTGTCTCGTCACGTGATGGAAACGCTCGGTCTGGTGTGCATCATTTTCTCTTTGATGTTAGTGTCAGAACAATCTGGGCTTCTGTCCATCGCCATTTTGAATCAGTCGCTTAAATCATTTGACTCAACGTCTGTGAGCAGTGAGAACCGGGGAGGGAGGAAAAACGTGCTGACGCAAAAAGGGGTCATTTTCGGAAGAGCCTCTGCATCGGGTATTACTTTATAAATCATAAGTTACTCGGTTGGGCCTCGGCATCTGCGTGTTACGCAACATGCTAAAGTCTCTTGCTCCTTATTGGAAGCAGAGAATTTGAGGTGAATATTGATCTGTGGAGAATTGAATTAGATTTACTGAAAGTCTGCGTTCTGACATATGTTTGTTTTGCATGACTGCTTGCTTGCTCGGTCAAAGCCCTTGTGGTCTGAGGAGTTTGTCTATTATGCAACCAAAATACCATGTATTGCCTCCCAAGCCCTCCCAGCACTTCCTATGTTGTTTCTTCTGCTTGTGTTTCCACTTAGTTGTATATTGATCAAGTGCGGATAAAGTTTAGGAATGTTAATCACTAAATGATTTAATTACAGTGCATTTCTTCTCAGTCATGTGTAATATTCCTGGAAAATTGCTTTTTTGTCTTTTTCCTCGCCCACTCTTTGTTGATGTTTTTACTTCTTGCCAGACAAAAGCAGTTTTTTGTTTGTTTGTTTGTTTGTTTTGGTCGGTACGGATGACAGAAAATAAAACTCAATGAAGTGGAAAGGAGACAGACCTTGAATAGCTCAGCTGTAGCCAAAGCTGCATCTTACACAAGCACAAGTTATTTTTTGATTTAATTTTTTTTTTTTTTTTTATGCTACAATTTCCCAAAGGGAACATTTGTAAGTCGACCGAAAGTGGGAAATATGTTTGTTATGCCACCATTTTCCCAAAGGGAATATTCGTAAGTCAACTTAAGCTTGTTGCATTGGCTCAAAGTGAGTGCTGCTCCAACGGGATTTTAAATCGTTCAGTAAATGTGCGTTTGCTAAAAACACGAGGAGACTACGAGCCAGTCTAGAAACCTGTTTTACAAATGCTGAACAGGAAATCTACTAAAATCAGCTCAGCCAATAAAGAAAACTAATGTCAGGAAACACAAGTACTGAGAGTAGAGTGTGTGTTGTTGCAAGAAAAAACCCCCTAAAGGTCCAGGATTACATTCTGTTGGAATAAAAAAAGAGAAACAAAGAGCATTTCAGAAGGTAATTGTAGAATTTTGTCCATTGATGAGTAAATGCGCAAACGTCTTACCCACCTGAAAAATTTGTGGTGAAATTCATAAATCATAGCTAATCCGAGCATTGGAAAGTCCTCTGCA